CTCTCTCTCTCTCTCTCTCTCTCTCTTGTTCTCTTTCCTCCCCTATCTCGCCCTCGCCCCTTTTTCTTTTTACAGAACTATGGGAATTGCAGAATTATATGTATGCATAAATATGTTACGCATATATTGCTTTATCTACTAATTAGCGCTTTATTCTGAGAGATATTTGGTAATGATGATACTTAAGTATAATTCATGATGTAAGTAATAATGAAGAGACACAAATGCGGTTACATGTATTAACGATAAATTAAATAGATATATAGCATGACAAAATGTCTATGAATATTTTTGCATCGCATTTCTTAATCGAGCTGACATTTGAAAACAAAATCACAAATAATTTGGCGCCGACTTCAAAAAATTGAAAGGAATTTTTAAAAGTATTATTTCATACTTTTTACAGCTTTTTTAATTTTCTTTTTAATTTTTTTCATGTTTTTTAGAGCATTTTTGTCAAAAAAAATATATGAAACTAATATGTGCTACCTGGTAAAAGTTTTTCTTAGGTGCGGCGTATACATATCGGAGTTACTCTAAAGCTGTACGGCGCGGCGTAAATACAGGAACTTTCCTAATATAAAAAAGTATTGCGTCGAATAATCAAAAGCTAGTACGACTAATAATACGCTGATTTTTTTATGTGCGATGACCTTCTTCTTTTCCGCCGCATCGGTCAATTTAGTGATATTTATCTAAACATTATTCTAATATATTCTAATACATTCTGAACATAAATACGCAAATTTTATAAACAGTATGTATTGTACAAGGTAAATAATTTAATAAAACCGGAAGATTGTATGTTGCCAAGCAGATGATTTGATTGGCTTAACAAAATATTTGTACAAAATATTTTGTTCTTTTGTTCTTTTTGACTATTTTGTTTGTTAACTATATTAATTTGTTATTTTTAACTAAATATTTTATACTATCAATTATACATAATATAACATTAACTAAATATTTCTTTGAATAAATTTACTATTTTGTTAATGTTCTTGGTTCAACAAAATTATTTTATTGAGTTAACAAAATTGATCATTAACTTGAAAAAAAATGATTTTGTATGATACCATTTTCAGAATTCAATTATTTCATTTTGTTCAAATAATAGACGTGTACTTAATTCAATAAAATAAATAATTGGATCAATAAATTAAAAAATCAACAAAATTGTTTTGTTGATTTAATAAAACCGGAAGATTGTATGTTGCCAAGCAAAATTGTTTTGTTGATTCAACAAAATTTTTCCCTCAGTGTATACATGGGATATATTTAATTTAACTTAACAAATCCTCTATAGAAGATAAATAGATTATTATATATATATATATATAATTTATATATATATATATAATTATATTATAAAACTGTCGAACATATAGTATCAGCTTTGTCGTAAAAATTTATGTGCGCGCTGTAATAAATGTGTTTTTATAATGCTGTACGTTTATTTATCTATTTATATGTATGACATCTATTTTTCAGGAATTGGAGGAGTATTGTTCCAAGTTTTTTGTAAGAAACACGATGGACAAGAAGAATTTTGAAGAATTAGATTTTTATATGAAAGAAATGTTTTTAACTAAACTAAGCGAGTTTTAAACTCTTTTGATGATTTCGAACCTAAGGTATTTGATAATCAATTTCGAACTGTTGAGGGAGGGACTGTGTATACAATGCATAATATACATAGATTAAAGAAGACAATGTCTTCCTTAGTCTATGAGAGGAACAGGGTCGGAAAGGAGAAAATAAGTCGCAATATAGCTGTGTTCTTTTAATTATAATATGGAGAAGTGTGAATAATAAGTTATAAATTCAAGATTGTGTAAAAGAAATTATAAATGTGTATAATTCTGTTAATAAATAAATTATTTTAAACAACAATGGAAATATTAATCGATGTAATCTTTGATACTTATATATGTAAGCATCTCATTTAAATAATTAAATTTATTGCGAAAAATGTTACCTCAGCCACAGGGTTCGAACCTGGAACCTTCCTCATTCCGTGATGGGTGTCGTCACACCCATTCCAGGTTCGAACCCTGGCTGATGAGGTAACATATTTTTTGCAATAATTAAATTTAATTATTTAAATGAGATGCTTATATATAAGTATCAAAGATTACATGACGATAATCGAACCAAATCGTGGTCGTTATATTGTCTTGGCGATTATAATGGCCAGTAGAGTCGATTATTATTTCGATCCATTGTTGTTTATTATTTGACTGGCGAAGTAAAAGTGATTTATTCTGTTATTAATATAACACGTATGTACGTGCTAATGTCATTGTTAAAATGTGCTCAAATATCTGTTTCAATTTTAAATATTTGATGGTTATATTATTTTTGCTTTTTTTTAATCATATGTTATCTGTGTTCTTTTCATTACATCTTTATTATTAGCTCCTCTGTCCTTTTACTCCTTTACATTTTTATTTGCTTTATTATATATTTTCAATCTTACTTTTTTCTTTATATTTATATTATTTATTATTTTATATTATTAATATCACCATTGTTCTTGTATTATTTATCATTTTATATCATCTATATATATCATTTAGTCTTCTACAGCATACAATAAATTATATCTTTGTATATAAAAAAATATCTCTTATAATAATAAAAGCTATTTGTACGACTACCTTACTCCATTATTCTTAGAAAAATCTTTCTCGAAATATCTAGCTTACTATTTTTAACGTCTATATTATAAATAAAATTGCATTAATTTAAACTACTCAAAACCACGCATGCGTACAAAAAGTTGTAAGGGGACATTACGTTTCTTCCCCCCCTCCCCCCACCACGATAACAACGCATGCGTCGAAAAGTTCCACGATCCGAGTTCCGAGTTCACTAATACAGTAATACCGACGGCGCCATTTGTTTGGACGCGCTGTAGTCATCGTTTCACGTTGGAGTAACTCGTCGCTTCGGAGCAAGAGGATCCGCGGTGGCTATGCCCGGAGGATGTCGCGACTATGAGCTGATTCCCACAATCGGAGTTCCTGATTATCATGCTGCGGGGAACAATCACAATTATCTCGCGAACCGATAGCAACGTACGGCCGTCTCGTTTTAACGGTGTTTGAACGAGCTGTGTCCCATTCTGCAAAGGGAAGGTGTCGTGAACAAGGATGTCTCTGAGCGCCAGCGCTGAGAATCTGTCGTCCGAGGGACAAGTGAGTGAATCAACGTTCAATTAGTGACGCTGAGCTTTCCACGTGTGACTCACGCTTATCGCTGCCACACCTGTTTCTTCGTACCGCAATATCTTGTCCCGTGCATTCATTTACTCCGGTTTTACCATGGTATAACTTGCATTTCGTGGAGCGAGCTCGAGTTATGTGAAAACACTCCACTTTATACAAGTCTTTGTGTTTTGGAGCAAACTTTGTTACATCTTTATTGAGCACAGTCTGATCGTTCAAGTGAAATAAACGTGGCTTTTAATTTCTTTTTACTCACATTACATAATGAAACGCATTCTATTGATTCTTTCTGTATGCAATAATTAATCTAGTATCAAGTATTAATGTTTTTCCATCTTCAACTCTTCGCCTTCAAGCTTGCTTTACTTTTTATTAAATCCACTTTGTCGGATCCACCTCGTAGAAATGAATTTTATTTACTCAGCATTCAAAAGATATACGTATTATATCGTTAACTGTTAAATTGAAAAAGCAAATATTCATTCAATATTATTTTGCAGATAATAGCCCGAAATTATTCTAACTCTAACGTATATATTTCAATTCTACAAACGCATCTTTATGTCAAGCCTGTTTTACGAAGCGACGATTAACACAGTGGTGTTGGTGTAGAGAAACTTATCTGCAAGAGATAATATCCATGCAACATGATGTTTGTAACATTTAGCAGAATAGCGAGAGATGGAACATGTGTCTGGAACTGGCGCTCGAGGGCGAACGCCTGTGCAAGGCTGGCGACTGCAAGTCCGGGGTGGCGTTCTTCCAGGCGGCAATCCAGGCCGGCACGGACGATCTGCGGATATTAAGCGCGATCTACAGCCAACTGGGCAACGCGTACTTCTACCTGGGTGACTACGTCAAGGCGATGCAGTATCACAAGTTGGACCTGACTCTCGCTAGGAATATGGGTGACAAGCTGGGCGAGGCCAAGTCCAGCGGAAACCTGGGCAACACGCTGAAAGTTATGGGCAAGTTCGACGAAGCCATGATATGCTGCAAGAGGCACCTGGAGATCTCCAGAGAGATTGGGGATAAGGTATACTTCGACGACTTTTAAGTCGTCTTCACTTGTTGCATTAAGTAACTCGACTTTTAAAAGCCGAGGTTGTACTTTCTACAAATTCATCACTCGTCCGTTGCGTATTTCTTTCTACTTTGTATAAATATTTTGCAGTTTAGTTCATATTTCTAAATCTATAAATTTATAATTCTGTGTAGCTTAGCGAGGGAAGAGCCCTGTATAATTTAGGAAACGTATATCACGCGAAGGGCAAGCAAGCGGGTAGAATAGGTCATCAGGATCCAGGAGAATTCTCCGAAGATGTTCGACAGTGCTTGCAACAGGCTGTGCGCTATTATGAGTAAGATTTTAATTAATCCGTAATTGCTGTCTCAACTTTAACATTTATATTATATATGACTCTCAATGCCTTTCGCTTTTCTACAGAGAAAATTTAGAACTTATGAGGGAACTGGAGGATTCTGCGGCTCAAGGTAGAGCATGCGGCAACTTGGGCAATACGTTCTATTTGTTGGGCGATTTCCAACAGGCCATTTATTATCACAATGAACGTTTAAAGATCGCCAAAGAGTTTGGCGACAAGCCGGCGGAGAGGAGAGCCAACAGCAATTTAGGAAACTCGCATATATTTCTAGGCGAGTTTGAAAAGGCTGCGCAGCATTACAAGTAAATATTGTGACTTTGCTAAGTTAATCGCGTACCTTTATAATTTTACGTTCAAATTTTACGTATCTAGGTAAAACTACATGTTAGTGGCGATCTCTTTGACTTTAACATATGTATATTGTCAAGAACGTGACTCTAACTTGCAAAAGATTTTAGCCGCTTGTTGTTTATTAAAAAGTTATCAACAAATAAAATAAATCATACAAATGTTTAAATGCCATAATTTGTGCTTTACCGAATATAAATTCATTATTCGTTGCATAGTGGATCGGTATCTCACACGCGATATATAAAAAAGCGATCACTACTGCGAATCTGACCACACAGCTTCGAACTTACGTACACAGAAGATAAATTTGCAATTTGCAATTATCAAAAATTAAAAGTTTCGTTCAATTTTTAGGAGGACCTTAGTTCTTGCACAGGAGTTGGGAGATCGCGAAGTAGAGGCGCAAGCATGCTACTCTTTGGGAAACACTTATACTCTCCTACGCGATTACTCGGCGGCCATCGAGTATCATTTGTGGCATTTGGGTATAGCCCAACAATTGAAGGATCGCGTTGGCGAAGGACGTGCCTGCTGGTCACTGGGCAATGCGTACGCCGCGATGGGCAATCATGATAAAGCGTTGCACTATGCGAATCTGCATTTACACATCTCGAAAGAGCTGGAGGATCAAATGGGCCAGGCTACCGCGCAGATGAACGTCGATGATTTACAGAAAATTCTCGGTCTAGAAAAGAGTCAGCAGGAGAACAATAAGGAAAATCTAAACACGCAGAAATCGACCTCAAACGCGACGTCGAATGTCCCGACAACTATGCCCTGTAGATATAGACTCAGACGACAAAGCATGGACAATCTCGATCTCATTAAGGTTCGCATTATTTTTTCTTTTCTTGAAACTACACTAGAATAATAAAGTTGCGGCAAAAGAAATGGCTATGTATATTGTATAATGTACTGTAGTTTATTTCTGTTAATCTATTTTTTTAAATCTAAAACGCAATTAATATTGAAATAATTTATATTGAAATAAAATTAAATTGGCCAAAAAATTACATGGAAAAAATTGAAATTGATTTATACGAAATATATATTTGATTTAACTAAATTAATTAACAATCGTTATATTCAATCAGCTCACACCCGACGCAAAGCAGAAAGATAAGTCGGAAATCGTGTTAGACAAAGACGACAATGTTGCGTCGCAACCTTCTCAAAAGGAGGAAGATAACTTCTTCGATCTGCTGTCCCGGTTTCAGTCAGGCAGAATGGACGATCAACGTTGCGCGCTCAACACGAAGCGCAATCCAAAATACCGAACAATCACGCCGGAAGTATCAGATATGGACGACAAGTACGTGAAAATATATTAATTCTATTCCTCTGAATGCTAATCACCGACTCATCATGATAACGCATTATATTATACTTGTTGTATCTAAGGGATATCTGACAATCTTACTTTTAGGGATGGCGAAGATTTGCTGGAATTAATCGCTGGAATGCAAAGCAAACGGATGGACGAGCAACGAGTGACCTTGCCCTATCTGCCAGGACTGAATACCAATCAGGACTCGGACGATTCCTTCATCGAGATGCTCGTTAGATGCCAGGTTTGTATCTGACTTAATGCACTGTCATGTTACTTGTTCGCATTGCTTGGAATCTTTTCTCTTGCGCACTTTATACAAAGGATAATCTGCTTTCAGAGTTCGCGTCTAGAGGACCAGCGAAGTCCTCTACCGGCTGCATCAACATTGCAGGACGCCGAGGAGGAAAGGGGCCGAAGAGCCAATGGTAAAACTCAATCAGGTTCCACCGTGCCCGAGGAGGACCTCTTCGCTCTAATCCAAAGACTTCAAGCTGGTCGGATGGAGGATCAAAGGGCTTCCGGACCCGGCAAGGCATGTTAAACCCGAAAGCAGACGGTGACTTAAGTCCTCACGATACCTTCCATTTACTAAATTCTTTCACGTATACTCGATTATATCAGTGCTTTCGTTTGCTCGTCTCAATTTTGCTTTCTTGGTTACTTAATAGAAAAGAGTTGATACTATACTTGAACGGTCTGGTTCTGATTCGAAAAGGCAACGACTCGAATCACCTAGTTGTGAGAACCAAGCACCGTGCCGGAGTGCGAAGACGTTTTTTTTTAGATGTTACCAAAAAGATAATGAGATTTCAAAATACTAGCTACTAGCGCTTCGTGTAAAAATGAAATATAGGTCTTTTTTGGCTATAAGATGTTAAAATTTTCAAAATGACATTTCGTTCCTACGCGCACGCTTTCGCACTGATAATTGGAGAAGAATGCCTGAAACGCGACTTACTAACTAAGTACAGTAGATGAGCGCGGAACGATGTTTAAACAGTATTGATCAAATTTAGTGGTGTAAAGGCGAGAAATCCACGTGTCACATAAAAAATAATTATTTGCTACCCTGTCACCGAAAATATGATTCCAACTGATTGTGAGATACTTTGCATAGACGTCAAGACTTAACTCAAGATACTTAGAAAGTACTTAGAAGATATATGCAGACCTTTGATATTTATCATTTGGAGAGCCATTTTTCCCTCTTTCCCTGCAAATGTGGAAATAATTAATTGAAGAAATGAACTCGTTTTTGCACTCAGGCCTTCGATTCCGTTCAGATAGACTTAATTATTCATTCGTGTAGATCGCCGCGTCTACAACGGTAAATAATTGATACTCCTGTAATCGATATTCCGTAGTTTAGCGACTGCTAGAAACCGGTTTTGCGAGAAAGCATTATAGAACAATGCAATAATGAGTTTTCAGTTGACCGTCTAGTAATAACGACTGCCGTTAGTTTCTGGCTACTTGATCGTGGAAATTATTGTATTAAGTAATACGAAACACATTCGGTGAATAAGTTATTTGCCAATCGTGAATAAGTCGCGAGTGTTATAAATGTAATGCGTTTGCACGATGATGGTCGTGATTTATGTGACATGCCAGTAAACTAGCATCGGTTTTTAGTATTATCAAGATTTTTATAATGCCTGCTTTACACGGGTCTGTAATTGCGCGTGCGAAAACAGGTTTTTCCGAACACTGCCAGTTTGAGGGCGTGAATTAGGTTTCCGGACGTTCGCGTTCGTGACAAACGCGGAGGGCCTTTCGATATTCACATTCTCAAGAGATTGTAGGTTTATTATTTTATATACACATATATATATATATTTTTCATGCGTATTCCGATTTACTTCCATCTCTATAAGGAGAAGCGGGATTATTTTTTTAAAGAATATATTACGCATAGAGACGTTATACAGTGGATGAGAAAAGTATTCGCGCACCGCCAAGTTTCGCTATTAGTAGACCTCTTGATTGCTAAATAATAGATGACACCAACAAACAAATTGTGTATTGTACAAGTCAAAAAGTAAAGTGTGCATATAATCTTTTACGACATAGAATAGAATATTATAGAGCATTTTTTTCGCTCCTCTGCAAAAAGAAGTTTTTAATAATGATTGAAGTCGTATATGCGTCACTTGGCTTTTCTAAAACTTTTAGAAATCTATATTCACGCAAGATTTAGCTATTGCTATCATCAATTGCATTCTACGTGCAAATACACTTTACTTCTTGATTCACTTTCACATGTGAGATATATAATTCCTGGATTAAATATTTTTGAGGGATTTTAGATAGAGGGAACGATAGTGGTTTTTACAAATCACTGTGCATGAATATTAGTTTTTGCTTGCTGTATGTTCAATAGGACGGAAACTTGTAGCGAATATCAGTGCCAAAGATTCTCGATTACTTAAAAAAAAAGAAAAGAATCCGTTAAAAGGGTAAGAAAAGCAAGCTTATATCGACTGAATCTCTATCGCGTCGTTGTCGCACGAATTCTTTCCATGAAGGCTTATTATCGTTGTATTGTAAGTGTACTGACGATCATGTTTAATGTAATGTCTAACATTATTTCAAATTGGCGAGATGTTAAATAGTAATTCATCTCGTTGTACAATATTTATTCTCAGCGGTTAGAGAATTAGGCCCTTGCAGTGTATTTTCAATTTGAGATATGTACAATCACGGAACTTTAAAAACGTCGTATTTGTTATATGTTATATACAGAATAACTGTCAGTAGTTTAACAAACTTTTATTTAAAGACTTAAATTGCAGCTGATTAGCCGAACGTGAAGAACGTATTTAGCGCCTTATATGTTCTAGTAATAAAATATATGTATATAATTGGGTAATTCCATGCCGATTAAAACGTCGACTTAGCGACGAGCCAAATTGCAACGACGTTGTCATGCGAAAAAGGAGCTGTCAATAATATAAGAAATATAAGTTAACAATTGATTCAACAAGAGTGCAAGAATAGTGATATGTTAATTGCCGAATCGAGATCGCTATCTTTTGCTATATATTGTTATGAAGTTATTATAATTGCAAAAACATTTGTACATACATGAATAGAGCTTTGATTTGGCTCAGCGGAGGAAGGGCGAAAACTATTACCTAAACCTAGACTATTAACTAAATGACAAATCACACTGATCGTAGGACTTTCGCGATCCTTCGTGGAATTTCTTTTTTTTACCATTATTTTGCTAGAATATATTCTAGATTATAATTACTTTACCTTAATCTTTTTTTATATATACATTCGTTATACTAGACATTAATGATATATGTTCTTCGTACTAATCGATAGGCGATATGTAACTTTTAGTTTCATGACCATCGAGATATAAATACATTCCATTCTGTCCATATATGATAGTGTATAATATATAAAGGATCAATAAAAAATATATACTTTTTGCAAAATTGACGTTAACAATGCGTCACCCTATACAAATCTCTTTATCCCTTGAAGATGCAGCTTTCTGCAGCTTTCTTTCTATTTTTCCCCACAATATGTCGGAAAAGTCTAAAAGCTTTTTCACCGTTGAGACCAATCCTCATCCTGACGCGAACATCGCATACGCATCGTGGCCGGAATGGAAGGATTCCGATCTGAACAACGAGAAATGGGGAGTTCCCAAAGACAGTCCCGATGGATTATTCCTGGATGCAGAGCGTGTCGCAATGCCACAGTCCTTAGAACCTGATCACTGGATACGAGCAAAAGATTTGAAGCACTTGACAGTACTGTAGTCACTTTATATTTTGTGTATTTCGGATAACGAATATTAATTCTTTGAATGTCTTTTCTATGTTATAACTTCTAAATTAAGCCAACAGTAACACGTACGATTTATGCTGTATTAATATATAAATATGGGAAACGAAAATACCTCTACAGGCTCCTCCAACAGTATGCATAACGACGGTGGAATATCCTGATTTGATTACGAACAATAAGCATTTGCTGCACAGCGAAGTATTTCTTTAGTTTTCGATGTAAAATTCAACGGCTTGCAAATTGCTGCAGAGCGATAAACAAAGGTAATGATAATGGTAATTTCCAGTTTGTGAGATGGTTTGTGTCTGCGCTGGTAAACCTGCAATATTGCGGTCGGGAGGATTTGGAAATCAGCGGAGAGAGCTCGAATTTCACCTGGACCGGTCGCCATAGTCCCTGGTACGGTTGGATGCACGTGTATTCCATGAATAAAGCTGGGAAGGGCGTTCAGCATCGACCCATGATAAATCCAAACGGTGGATATAACATTCGGCTCGCAATATTTTTGACATTTATATAAAAAATTTTCTAAATCCGTTGTGCACATTGTTAAATCTTAGATTCGAAAATCAATAATAATTTTTGAAAACGCAACAGATTGACAAAAACATGAACATCTTCTAGGAAAATATATTGTAAGATTACACTGCATGGGATGCTGGCGTCACATCCTGGTGGACGACATGATTCCTGTGGATAAAAATGGCAGACCTCTTTTACCGTGCACGTCCAACAACTACGAACTATGGCCGATGCTTCTCGCCAAAGGATTGCTCAAGATTGCTTCGTTATCTTGGACCAGACACCACGAGATCGTCGATTTCCATCCAGTCGCTTGCCTCACAGGTGGACGTCACGTCCACCTTTTTCATTCTATTATTTGTTTTTTACGAAGTAATGTAATTACTTTAGAGAAAATATTTTTCTTTAAACTTTATTAATTTCCAACGGCTTGCTATAAAAAAATTAATAAGTCACATGATTGACCCTGTTGATGTCGTATTAGAAAAAGTTCGCTATATTAATATAAATTTTAATAATAACAGGCTGGACGTGCTTGACAATTAACGTCGCGCATCTATCGTTGCAAGACAAGTGGGATTTCTTAACGAAATATTCAGAACATTTCGAGTGGACACCGCAAACAGCGCAGAATCACGTTCCAGGTGTGTCCATCGAATGTACGTGTCCACGACAATCTAATTGGCGTTCCTTCGATTACCGCGTTACGTTATTCCCGTCTGTATTTCCGAGTAGAAAGTTCAGCGAATAAGACCGACGAAACAAGGAAACCCAGAGAAACTTCACAGTCGCTCGCCGCCGAAACCGAGAAACCTCAACCTATCGCGCTGTTCTTTCTCTTAGGCGACACGCGAGCACTCGGAAGCGACGCGATACCCGGCTTGTCGCCCTGCTGGGATCATGTAATCCACATCGTCCAGTCGCGCAATATTCCTCTAGATCCCAAAGACGTAAGAGCATTAAGTCTCAACTCAATTCAATTGGCTCTTATCTCTTGATAGCTATCGCGATTGATAACTTGCTGCGTAGACAAAAATAAGGGAAAAAAAGTCTTAGAAGAATTAGAATGACATTCCAAATAGCACAAAAGTCTAAAACGTGTATAAAAAATATTAGAAGTATTTTTTATCTGGATTGTAACTAGCTCCAACTTAAATTGCTTTCCAAGGTAAAGCCGCCATTAGCAAAGTGGAAGTTTCATCGTTGGCTAAAATGGGCCGTTGAACAAAATGTGATTGATCCTGCCGACTATTTCGTTCCGATTCGTTACTTGAGGCTGATTAGTTCTCTCAAGGCGTGCAACGAGAGCGTTGTTCGCGATAGAAGTGACGTTGCAGGAAACTCGATCTCTTCGAACGAGATCGAGCGGTCCGATAAATTTGCTCGGAGAAGAACGAGATCTCAGAGAATATCAGACTTGCCCACCATGTCGAAAGAAGTAGCAACGGAAAATGCCAGTCAATGGATCGACTTCAACAAGATGGCTTCGTACGTAATGGAGGTGCATCTGTTCTATAAGCTGGAGTACTTCCAGTGTTCGATTGAAATAACAGGCAACGCATTGAAGAAAACTAATGAGAATCATAAAGCGGAAGCAGTAAAAGCTGTTTCAAAAGAGATCGGAAAGGAGAAAGCAGGTACTTCGGTTTTTAGCGATAGAATTTAACGCAATATATGCTCTCAATTAAAAGAAAAATAATCAAATATCCATAATTTTTCTTACTGCAGTTTATAGAACTTTTGTTCCAAAACATTCAAATATGAAATATGCTAGCGCACTTTGAGAATTAATGCCAGAAATAGATTAAGTTTTTTTTTTATATAAACAAAATGATACACAATGAGATCCAATCTTCTCAATTTCTTTTTCGGTTTGAAAATTTGCAGACTCCTATAACAGTATAGGCAAGATTCTAAAATCCAAATACAAACCTCTGTATTTGTTCTGCGATTCTCCGAGGAAGAAATTCTTTTTGGTTAGTCTCTGCGCCGCGCTAAAGAAGAAGAATACCGATTTGCACGAAAAAGACTATTTGATTCTGGAAAAGTACAACTGGTTCTTCATATCAGATCCGTCGAATCAATCAATAACTATTTCCACAACCGGCAACAAGTCGACCATTATGGAACTGGAAGCTGGCAGGCAACTTCTGCGGATTCACAGTCGTTCGGACTCCGGTCTAACGATTATTTCCTCGGACACGGATTTCCATCTTGGAGATCGAGCAACCGTGCAACAGCTGATGACCACTGAATCCGACAGAATCGAGCAACTGTCAAGAGTAATCAGCGATAATCTCTGCAAAGCTTATCGATCGTTTGGAACAAAGGATTACCCAAGAATGTTGGAAAATTTTTACCGAAGCTACATGCCCAGCTTGCAGTTTATTTCTTCAAGAGAAAATAAGAATTTTCGAACACTGATACACCATTTCTTCATGGAAGAACAAGTTTGTTTGATCAGAGAGATTGTTCCCGACGAAGAACACAAAGACATGTTTCACTCTTTAAGGGTATTTTTCCTAAATCCGCATATTAGATCAGAATATTTTAATTTAATGACAAAACAGAAGACTCTTCAAGACTTTATGGTAGAAAAAACTTCGAGAACATCACGCAGCAATAAAAAAGTCTTCGTCTATGATCAAGCAGCGACGACGATTCAATCTTTCCTCAAGATGGTTATCGTAAAGGGATATAAACAACTTCACAATCCTGATCACGCCCTGCATACGCAGATTCGCGAACGGCTTCTGAAGATATCCGATCTATTTGACTCATCCCTCGCAAGCCGGTTACTGAGGAACGTTATCAATCGACATAGTAGTCTGCGTGACCTGTATCCTTGCTCCGAAGACTTCGTACACGTTCTGAAAATTCAGGAGTTCAGAGACGTCCTGGGAAACGTCAGGCACGAACAGTGGTTCCCGATTGTCAGGCTCGTAGTTAATCCTAAGCCTGCGAAGACGAAGGTTCTCGCGGTTTTCGAATTACTAATCGATCTCCCTCGTTTCGCACTGCGTGTCTTCAACAACCAAAATGGCCGCGAGATGACACGTCTCGTGAGCCACGTGGTTCCAGCTCATTACGAGTACCTTCCGGACGGTTACACGGTGTTCGCTTACGGCTGGAGCGACAGACAGCACTTGAAAGAGCTCCATTGGACGATTCGCGTGGTTACTATGAAAGGTGAGCCAATGTTTTATCAACTGGGTGAACAACGGCCTTTGTCCTTGGAGACCAAACCACCCAGGCTGATGGTTGACGAATTATTCGGCACATATATCCCGAATGCGAGAAGTTGTATTTCGCGATGGATACTGCGAACAACTTTGGAGAGAAGCATCATTTCGATAAGATTGGCAACTTCTTACAACCTGATAGAGATCAGAATAAAAGTCACCGATGAAGATGGCAATATTTTGGTCGAAGCGAACGGCGGCTCGATCGTCTTGTTACCCTTAATAATCTTAAAGCATGCTACTATGAACAATGAAGATTACAAGACCGAAAATAAAAGCCAAGACGTTAACAAAAAGTTCGAAAATGCAGGGAAGAAAAAAAGTTTGTATTACATAGAGGCTTTCGTGCTCAACAACAGTTGGCCTCTCACAGATGTCGAGTGGACGGTCGCGAGCCAGGCAAAGGCGAAGAATGAGAGAGATATCAAAACAAAGATACAATCCGGAAATAAAGGGTTTTCAAGGTCTGGTTTGTCGATGACGAAAAAGAACGCAAAACAATTCGCGAGCGATGGTCAAGCTTTGGAAACGCCATATTGGATTCTTCAGATTGTTACTGATGCTCGGGATGCTGTAGAGGTAAGTACATGTAATTTGTTCCAATTTAACCAAAGAAATCACATTGTTCAAAAGTAGTAATTTACAAATAATTAATATGTCCGCAATACTAAATTCCAAAATCTTAATTTTTCCTGAAACCTTTTGTATTTTTTAATTCTTTTTAAAAGATTGATTTTTGTATGAAAGCATTTGTTCGTTCGTTTTTCTATCTAAATGTATGCGTTCGTCAGATCTGTGAAGACAAGAGCAGAGAGCAAGAAATAGTACTTCTGAAAGAGTCCTGGTGGTCGAAAGACCCAAATCGACTCGAATACGGAAAGGATTTGAGAGAAGCATTTCTGAAGGCGCACGCCTCGAAAATTAAACCTGACGCATCCTCGAATCGGAACGGGATACAGCTGAAATCAATAGAAGACGAAGACGCGGCGTTTTGTCTGTCGCACGCAAGGCAATATAGAACCCTGAAGCCACTGGAATCTCATCGCCATCTGTCTGCTTTGGACCTGACGAGATACGTGAGAAGAGACGAGATCGCGAAGCATTATCGGATAAAGACGAAAAGCGACGATGAAATACTAAGGAATCAACATACCGCCATCATCATTGATAGTCAGACGAATTATTCCGATTATTTGAAGAACTTGGGTGAGCTGATGAACAAGCAACTGCGGAAATACGTGAAGCGCTTCGAGAAGAAAGATGAGAATTTCTGGCAGAGAAGAACTCTCGTGGACGCTGCTTACGAAACGAGAAAGATCTACGTTAATAGTTTGATAGCCGAGAGAGCGAAAACTAAAGCAAAAGGGAAAAAGGATTAAGAAGGCTTTACCTTATAAAATGTGTGATAATTAATCGATTACGTTTACGAACATTGGGATTCAATAATTAAGTAATACATTTACAAATGACTAAGCAATTTAAATAATATAAGCTCCATCGAATTAATAAATAATATATAAGATACATACATATATCAAATTGTCGACTGTTATAATAAGCAGAAACGTGCAACTTGCCGGCAAGAGCCGAACGAAATGCTATTTCAGTAGCTGCTATCGTCGAGCGCTGTTCACTCGAGAGGCACACTTGCTTCGCGTTGATGACTGTCCACGATCCACCTTTTAATGACGCCTCTCTGGCCGTCCGAGAAAGAAATAACGGCGATCCGTCCCGCCCATTTTTCATCCGGGACCAGTCCACGCGGTCTAGCAGGATTATTATGAAAACTACGAGAAGAGACGTCTATGAGAGAGGGTGCTCCGAGACGTACAGTGGGCGCGATAAACGGTCTCGAGCAGTACAAGCGATGTACTTATCATCGAAAATATTATCGTCGCTCTTCTAATCGGCGAATCAATAAACGAAACCACTTTCGATTTCAACGTCAAACTGACTACAAACTTCGATCTTAATTTCGATTCCTATTGTTAACTACATTGTTAACATTATTTTCGAGATCTAATTTAATTAATTGCGATCTGAGCTTCAATTTCTGTCTCAGTTTAATTTTATTATTAAAACTTTATCTCCTGTGGTTTCGTATACTTCTTCAGTTCAAATCAGCTTAGATTTTACATAGCTTTTCGATGCAAATATTGAGACACGTCGAGTCTATTGTACACGCTATACGCTGCAGCAGCTTACACGCTGATTGCAGGTGAAGCTGCTACTGCATTCAGGATCGGCGTCAGCCCAGCTAGTAATCACTGTCGATCATGTTTGTGTTAGGCGATCTTGTCTGTCGCGCAGCGAATTACAATTACGGCGTATCGCTGCATCACGCACAAGTGTGTATGTATACTCGTGTTGAATACTGTACCTGGGTATTTAACCTTCGAACGTATAACTTGAGAACCGATTTGATTCTGTTTCAAGCGTCCTGGAACTATTTCAAAAATTATAGAGCAACAGATTATTTAAAAAATTCAATATATAATGAAATAAATAATAAATATAAAAATAAGTCTAATGATGAAGAAATTAATATATACGACTAATATAAAGCACAATCTTTCTTATAATAAATATTAAAATATTATCTTAATAAAAAAAAATTCAAAAAATTTATCCTACTTTTTAATTTAATTACTTTGACCCTCTTTAAATTGCTAAAGATGTCTCACAATATTGATCAGGGATACTTTTGCAACCCTAAAACTTTATATGCCAAAAAACTATCGAAATATTACACACATTCACAATATCATTGTAAAGCAATCTTCCATCGTGAAGTAGTATCTGATGTCCCGACATTTGACATGACATCGATGAGTCCCTATTTTGCATATAGGAGAAAACGTTCGATTCCTGGATAACCCAAGAAAAGCAAGTAGCTACGTGCTACTTGGCATGCCTCGTTGATTGTCAGGAATTCGCATTAAAAAAGTTGAATTATAAAGGGTTTTTCCCTCAGTTGCCTAACGACACGCGGCAAGTTGTATTCTTTAATCCCTGTTGTTTTTGTTAAAATAAAACGTTACAATAAAAAATATTTATAAAAGCGTCAGCATTTTCGTAATATTATGATATTACATAACATATGTGCGTAAAAAGTACTACACATATTTAGAAATACTTTGCAACAGAAATCTAAAAATTCTTTTGGTATACTTTTTAGAACTTAATTAACAATTAACAAATAATAGATTTTTTATTTATGATATATAAATAATTAGATATAATATATCCTAAATAGAAAAATATATTTTATATCTTTTATAAATTTATAATATCTATATATTATATTTTAATATATATATGTGTGTGTGTATT